CATAGGATGGGTTTGTTACACTTTCACTTTATACTTCCACCTTCTGCCATGGTTTTGTCTAGTTCTGTGGAGTACAGGTGCAATGAACACAGAGTTCTCACTTCTAACTTTAGGTTCAATCTGCAAGCCAACCACTCATATACCATTTCTTTTTCCACATCCTTTCCTAATAAAATGAAGTACACCTGGACAGGGACATCTAAGAGTAGCTAACTCTATCCAGTCTTGAGTGCCACAGCCATTGCTCAGCTTGCAAGATGCACCAAACCTCTAGACCACCATCATCTGTGTCAGTGGGAAATGTGAATAAGGTATCTGTAAAGTATATGCAGGAAAGAGATGTTGTGTGTTCCCGTGCATGATTTCCAAAGAGAGTAATTTGAGCATTCTTGCTACAGGAGTTTTGCCATTTATTTACTATATTGTATAAAACCAAAATTTCTTATTTTGTTTGGTAATGTTTTATTTTAGAGAAAATTACAATTTATTTTTACCAATTCCTTTTATGTTTAAGTGCCCCAGTTTAGACAAAGACTATAAGGTCACACTACTATAACCAAACACCTCACTCCCTATCACATTATAATGTATTGTATTAGGGAATGTACGGACATAACTATATAAACCATCTCCTTGGTCCTCAAAACATGGCAAGGATCCACCACTAGAAAACCAACTAATACCACATTACTACTATAGTAAAACTATTTTTTTAAACCACTGTGATTCTTAAGCAAATACAGAAACGTCTCTATTCCACAATAAGCATGAGAAAAGTATTCTACACAACTCAGAATTATACATGTTATACAAAGAGTCAAATTCCTATGAAATGATTACTTTTCTGTTGATTCACAAAGTGCTTCAGAATTATGTTTTAGCCCTGAGGACTTCATTTTGAGCATCTAAACAGAGTCTAGGTTAGAAGGAAACATGAAGACATTGTAAGCACCATTAACAGAGGTAAATTTTATTCTTCTGGATAGCAAAGAAGTATTCATTACGTTAAACAGCATCCTTTGGAATAGCAATCATTAAACGGCCTTTTAAAAGTATCAAATACATTTGAAAAGTATAGGACAAGTCTACATTTGGTCCAGCTAAAAGACAAGGCTATCTGAAGCTCCTGGAGGAATTTCAGAACCTTCCAAGTCTAAGAACAGGAAACAATAAAAACTATTCCTTTTGTAACAGCTCTTTCATTCTAGATGAAGATTCTTTTTTGAGGGGCAGAGGGAGAAAGAGAGGGAGGTAGGAGTGAGGAAGAAAGAGAGAAAATCTTAAGCAGGCTCCACCCCCAGCACAGAGCCCAATGTGAGCTCAATCTCACAACCCTGAGATCATGACCTGAGCCAAAATCAAGAGTCAGACACTTAATCAACCTAGCCCTAGATGAATATCTTATTATCTGAACAAAATCTGAAGCAGGAAAAAAAAATCTTTGACCTTTAAAAAAGTGTTCTATAGAGTTATCATAAAAGGACAGTTGTTTAATACTCAGTGCAACCCAGGAAAAAAATCTTGTTATCTTTCAACCTGATTCAAAAACTTAAATTTAAAGGGGCACCTGGGTGGCTCAGTTGGTTAAGCATCTGCCTTCAGCTCATGATCCCAGAATCCTGGGATCCAGCCCTGCCCCTCACCCCATTCGTGCTCTCTCTTACTTTCTCTGTCTCTCTTTCCCAAATAAATAAAACCTTTAAAAAAATAAAATTTGGCTTGTTTTATTAAAAAAACCTTATTTTTTTTTTAAGATTTTATTTATTTATTTGACAGAGAGAGACAGCAAGAGAGGGAACACAAGCAGGGGTAGTGGGAGAGGGAGAAGCAGGCTTCCCGCTGAGCAGGGGGCCCGATGCGGGACTCGATCCCAGGACCCTGGGACCATGGCCTGAGCTGAAGGCAGACCCTTAACGACTGAGCCACCCAGGTGCCCCCCAAAAACCTTAAATTTAAAAATGCCAAATTTAAAATTTTAACAGTAGAGGTCATTAAAGATTCTATATCACAATCAATTTATAAAACACCTTTAATTCAAATATGATTTACCCTAGTCAACATCTAGGTAAGGTGATGAAGCAGGTCCCACTTCTGCTCCAACCAAGAATGTGAGGGTTAGATAAGGCCAAAAAGTGGGAAATTTCACAAGTAGCCCAAAGAACAATATTCTGATAATCCTGCCTTAATAAAACAGAAAATAGTTACTATGTCTGATACTTGACCTTTATAGTATTCATATATAACATTGAGTAGCGGTAAAAAAAAGTTTTTAAATAAACCATTATATAAAATCTTAACTTCTTAAAGACATTATATCAACTCCTTAAATAAGAAAACAATAACCTCTGCTTTGGATAGTTAATCAGCCCAAATGTTTTTATAGATGTTAGGTCTCTCCCTAATTTCTATCATGCAAAAATGTCATTTTAGAAAATCCTGATACAAACTGAAATGTACCAGAATAGGAATCAAAATCAGCTCTTTCCTCCCACTTTAATTTATGAACCAGGATTTACACAAAACTGTCAAGAGTCACAATAGGTGTAACAAAGTAAGCTTGGGTACAGTACTTGTATTTCACTCCAGAGGGAAGGGTGGTTCAGTGGTAAACTATGGAAAAGAGATGCCTATCAGATTTCCAGGTGGACCTCTTAGACATACCTTATTTCACCTAATTTATTATGCATATTATCCCAAGTTTACACATCTCTTTACTTGAAATGTTTCTTATGATCAATGACATATCACCATTTAACTATAGGGAGTTTTTTCCTCCTTAAGAGTACATGAAATAATAACAGATTTGATGAAATATGTTATTTCCCTGATGGTTCCTCCTGAAAGTGCTTCCAATTCAGTTCACATCTAATTGTTACTCCAAACACACACACACACACACAAACACACATCTTTGAGTATGTTTTTAAAGGACCTTGAAATAAAATTAATCAGCAATTCACTGCTGATTAATTGAATATTGAATCAGCAATATTCAAAAATATATCAAATTGATTGAGACTCTCCTTAAAATGCAAGTTAAACAAAACAAAAATATCAACTAGGAAAAAAAAATGTATGCTCGGGCGCCTGGGTGGCTCAGTTGGTTAAGCGACTGCCTTCGTCTCAGGTCGTGATCCTGGAGTCCCGGGATCGAGTCCCGCATCGGGCTCCCTGCTCGGCGGGGAGTCTGCTTCTCCCTCTGACCCTCCCCTCCCCCCTCTCATGTGCTCTCTCTCATTCTCTCTCTCAAATAAATAAATAAAATCTTAAAAAATATATATATATGCTCTATACACCTAAGACACACAAATTTGGAAACTGAGTCTTGAACTTTCTGCTGCCAGTTAATTTTGTGAAAATACTCTTCTCAAATCACCACATATCTTTCAAAGTCTGAAATTAGGTTTAAGTCCTCCTATTAGTGGTCATTTCCTCCACCCGCACAAAGATAAGTTATCAGTCTCAAAACAGAAAAATGCTTTGCAAGTGAGCTAATGTACAGAAAAGAGCTGCACAATGAGGTTTACATTAGCTTCTGAGGTCAAAAACAAGTTCGACTGTCTTCATTCCCCTTTAGAGTCCCGAGAAAAGAGTTTCACATTGTCTACGCATTAGTTTTCTCGGTTTAAAAGAACATATCGCTACCTTATCATCTTTCCTCATTTGTTCAACAAATAGTATTTTAATGTTTAGGAGGTACTAGGCAATCATTAGTAGGAGAGGATCTACTACTAATATGTGACACTTAGACACCACCTTTGAAAGAGAATACCACCTGCATGAGGCACTACTATCTGACTTAGAACACCAATTCCCACCTGACTTTTAAAATCCCATACACATGAATAAAATTTAATGAAGTAACTTCTTAAAGCCAGGCTCTAAACAGTGTACAGGAGATACATCTTGCTCAAGTTAATCGCCAATTCAAAACTATGCACTTTATCGCTGACAAAAGCGACTTTGTGAGGGTCTGAAAACTCCAAGCCAACGAAAATTTTAATACAGAAGTGAACGCGAAGGTGCTCAATTCAGAAGCGAGACGAAAGAGGAGGGTCTAAAAAAAAAGTGAGTTGGAGGCGACGAGAAGCGCAGCGGCGACCCAAACGTGCTCTCCCCACATCAAGTTAGCAACTTCTCCAACACCCCGGGATTCCCCACTTCCCCAGCCCTCGGACGCGGTGGCCGCGGCTCGCGTCCCGGAGAGGGCTCCCCGCCGCGGGGAGCGGATCCACCGCAAACAAACGTGCCAAAGCAGCAGCCAGCGACTAGGGGCGGGGTTAGACCCACGCTCCAGCCCTCGGAGAAGGATGGGGGGGAGGGCAGCGGAGCGAACGACCCTCGGGTCACCGGCCCTGACCGGGCACGGGGGGTGGGGAGGACGGAGGACTGCAATCACGCGGCCTCGCGGAGGGCCGGCCTCGCCGCCGCGGACCCCAAGGCCGGCGTTGGGGAACGGGGAGGGCCTCACCGAGGACAGGCGGGAAATGGGGAGGCGGGAAGACTGGAGGCCAGCACAGCTTGAACGCCGCACGCGAGGCCCCGACCCTGCCTTGCCTTCCGCGGGCCCCAGGAGGTCCACAAAAGGCCCCCAGCCTCCCGAAGGGACGGGGGTGAGGCTGAGGAAGCAAACACACACACCCGCTTGCCTCCCTACCTCCACCCTCCGGCCACGCTCCTCGGGCTCCGAGCCCCACAGCGGAGCGGGGGAGGCGAGGGCCAGCGGCGTGGCCGCGGGGAGCTGACGCCCTCCCCGACGCCCGGAGACCGGCGGGCGCAGGAACCCCGACACGAAGACAAAAATCAACAAAGCACCTGCCGCTCCCGAGGAGAAAACATGCCACAGGCCCCGACCGGGGACTCTCCGACGCGCAGCTGCCCGGGCCGCAGGGCTGCGCAGACGGGCTGGGGGGAGGAGGGTCGAGCGGTGGTTCCCTGGCCCCGGAGCCTCGCCTGCTCCCAGAAGCGGCGAGGCAGGGAGCCCCACGCCAAAGACTGACCTTGGAGTCTCCGTTGCACAGAGCCATCGGGGCCGGGGCCGCGGCAGCGGCGGCCACGGTATGAGACGGGGCGGGAGAGGGCCGGCGGGGTCGACGCCGCGGGCTGGGGCTTGAGGAGGAGGCCTGGTCTAGAAGCGGGCGGGCGCGGAGAGGAGCTGGCCGACTGCGAGGCGCCGAATGTAGCAGCAGCCGCGGAGCGCGGGCCCCAGCGCCGCGGGAGAGGAGACCAGCAGCGCGCACGCTGCCCCCGCCTCCTGCTTCCGCCCCGGCCGGCCACTGGGAGGAGCCAGAGCCCGTTCGGCTAGGGAGCCAAACCGCGGACTCCTGGCAGATGCCCCCGCCGCCAAATAAGCCCGCCTGGGGAGGAGGGGCCTTCGGTGTCCGGCCCCGCCCCCCAGGTCCGTTCCCGCCGCCCAGGTCCGCCTCCGGGAAAAGAAACCCGCAGCTTCTCCGGCCCGCGGGTCCACGGGAAGAAGGGACTGCGGCGCCCGGCCCCGCCTCCGCCGCCAAAGCCCGCCCCCCAGTAGGAACCTGACCCGCCTCCGCCCCCTCTGGTCCTCCCCTGGGGGGGAGGAGCCCGCAACTAACAGCCCGGCTCCCGTCCCGCCCCCGCACCGGGCAACCGGCCTTGGGAGGAGGAGGAGCCCGAGGCGGTCGGCCCCTCCTCGCCGTGAAGGCCCACCTCTGAGAAAAACCCGAGCCTCCGAGAGCTTGCAGGAGGCTTGCCGGCCGGCGGCCTTCAACCACTGTGAGAGGCTGGGGGAGCGGAGTAGGAAGTCTCCGGAGAGCTGGGTCCTAGCCATTGGCGCGGTCTCATGTCAGGTTGTGGGACACGGGGTCAGCCAAGGCTACTGTGAAGAGTTTCGTCGTGACATCTCAAGGGACGTCAAAGTGAGATTTGATCACATAGGTCCGCAAAAGTTCTACAGCGGGTCCAGAATTTCCATAAGGAGGAGGTTTGGGAGCGGCAGTCTGGTGGGATGCTGGGCCAGGGCACTGGCCATGAAGCTCTGTTTGCACAGCACCCTATGTTTTTATTTAGATGGTTTGTGGGGAAGGGGCTACAGTTCTTCCAGCTACTCCTTGACAACCGGCAAGATGAGGTATTACTTTGGTGACCTGGGAACCTAAATCGCGGTTGGAGAATAAATAACACTTGGAACTGCTTCCAGATTCACAAAGCCTTTTAACAAATATTCAGTTACTACGATACAGCCATTTGCTGAGCTCATGCTATGTGTCAGGCTCTGGGTATCAAGGAGCCAGAGTAAGACAACCCTGACTTACAAAAACTCATTTTATTCTAAGCTATTTCACGAAAGTAGTGAGGTAGGATTTATGTTCTTACCCACTTTTTACTAATAAAGAAAAGTGAGGCTCAGTGAGGTAATGTGCCTCTCTGCCTCTCGGAATAGGAGGTAGGGGGTACCTGATCTGGGAAAAGATAGACAGTTTATTACTATCAGGAACAAAAGGCCCAAATCCTAGCGGACCCCTGAGTCAATGAAAGTATTTCACTTACCCTTTTTGGGGTTGAAAAACGGATACTTGAACTTTCTAAAGCCATGGATACTGTGCTCTCTTGGTAGGTCTGTATGAGCAATCAAGAGAACAGTGTAGTAACCAATAGGAGAGTCTCAGCTTACATCATTATCTACCCAGAATGAAATGGAATGGAATGTGATGTCCCAGCGTTAGGATTGGCTAAAGCCCATCTGTACTAGATAATACCTATATTAAATATATTCTAGTGGTCACCTGTGCTTATGGCTAAGGTACCAGGATCCTTATATCTAAAGTTCTTCTGCAAATTTTGACTCTATTGACCCCTCCCTCATTCTTGAAACTGGATTTCTCTTACAGTGTATCATAGAGGTGTCTTTTCACCTGTAAGATTGTTCTTGGTCTTTTTTTTCCTATGATAGTTGACACTTTCAGTCACCTTTTCTTGCCACTCTTTCTGTATCTATCCTACAGGAGGAAGCTTAAGTGTTGCTTTTCTTCAATATTTCCGTTCCCTACCCTCTCCTCTTCTTACTCTTCACTTGTGTTTCTTTGGGGTACTTGTTTAAAAATCAAAACTAGTTTTGGGGCGCCTGGGTGGCTCAGTTGTTAAGCGTCTGCCTTCTGCTTCTCCCTCTCCTACCCCCCCCCCCAGCTTGTGTTCCCTCTCTCGCTGTGTCTCTCTCTGTCAAATAAATAAATACAATCTTTTAAAAAAAATCAAAACTAGTTTTAAAATGTCCTTTAATAGGCTCTATGACAGCTCTTTCCTCTGAGCTCCAGATCCATATCGCTCTGCACATCCCCAGTTAGATATTCAGTGGTATGTTGGGCCCTAAACTCAACAAGTCCAAAACAAAGCTTCCCAAATTTCTGTGCCCAATATCACTGAAACCATGATATTAGAGAGAAAACATTCAGTCTTTCATCCATAAGCTGTAGGTTTTTCATAGATTCCCTTCATCAAGTTGAGGAAGTTCTCCTCTATCCCCGTTTTGCTGAGAGTTTTGATCAGGAATGGATGTTGTCAAATGCTTTTTATGATGTGTCTGTTGACATTATTATATGGTTTTTCTTTTTTCAGTTTGTTAATGTGGTAGATTACATTGATTGGTTAATTTTTAAATGTCAAACCAGCCCTATATTCTTGGAATAAGCTTCAAGTAATCATGATATATTTTCCTCTTCGTTTTTTAAGATGTATTTATTTTAGAGAGAGGAAGAGAGGACCTGCATGCAAGCACGAGCATGTGCGCAAGTGAGTGGGGGGAAGGGCAGAGGGAGAGAATCCTCAAGCAGACTCCCTACTGAGTGTGGAGCCTGACATGGTCCAGTGTCATAGCCCTGAGATCATGACCTGAACCAAAACCAAGAGTCAGATGCTCAACCAACTGAGCCACCCAGGCACCCCCATACATTTTCCTTTTTATATATTGGATGTGATTTGTTAACTCTTGCTTTCAAATTTTTGCATCTCTATTAATGAGGAATATTAACTGGCCATTTTCTTGTAATGTCTTTAACTGGATTTGGTATCAGGGTAATGCTGGCCTCAGAGAATAAAGTTGAAAGTTTGTGTAGAATTATTCTTTCCAGAAGAGTTGGTATAGAATTGGTGTTATTTCTTTCTTAAATGTCAGGTACAATTCACCAGTGAGGACATCTGAGCCTAAAGTTATCTTTGTAATAAGGTTTTTAACTACAAAGTAAATTTTTAAAAGATATAGGGCCCTTCAGGTTATCTATTTTTTCTTGACTGAGCTTTGGCAATTTGTGTCTTTCAAAGAATTTGTCAGTTTTGTCTGAGTTGTCAAATTCATAGACAGAGTGTTATTCATAATATTCTCTTATCATTTTAATATCTAGACTCTGTAGTGATATCAAATTTCTCATTCCTGATATTGGTAATTTTGTTTTCTGTTTTTCCTCAACAGTCTGGCTAGAAAAAAGTTTGCCAATTTTATTGATCCTCTCAAAGAACAGCTCTTAGTTTAATTTATTGCTTTTCTGCTGTTTCATTGATTTCTACTTTAGTCTTTTTTATTTCCTTTCTTCTTACTTTGTGTTTAGTTTGCTCTTTTTCTAGTTTTTTAAGTTAGAATCTGAGATCATCAATTTGAGATCTTTCTTCTTTTCTAATATAGGTATTTAGCTCTATAAACTTCCCCCTAAGAACTACTTTACTGATATCCCACAAATTCTGATATATCATATTTTCATTTCCATTTGGTTCTAAACAGTGTCTAATTTCTCTTTTTGATTTCTTCTTTGACCGATGAGTTATGTAAAAGCATGTTATTCCATTTCCAAATATTTGAGGATTTTTCAGAGCTCTTTCTGTTATTGGTTTCTTTTTTTTTTTTAATTTATTTTTTTTATTCTTATGTTAATCCCCACACATTACATCATTAGTTTTAGATGAAGTGTTCCATGATTCATTGTTTGTGCATAACACCCAGTGCTCCATGCAGAATGTGCCCTCCTCAATACCCACCACCAGGCTAACCCATCCTTCCATCCCCCTCCCCTCTAGAACCCTGTTTGTTTTTCAGAGTCCATCGTCTCTCATGGTTCATCTACCCCTCCGATTTCCCCCGCTTCATTCTTCCCCTCCCGCTATCTTCTTCTTCTTCTTTTTTTTTTTCTTAACATATATTGCATTTGTTTCAGAGGTACAGATCTGAGATTCGACAGTCTTGCACAATTCACAGCGCTTACCAGAGCACATACCCTCCCCAGTGTCTATCACCCAGTCACCCCATCCCTCCCAACCCACCCCCCACTCCAACAACCCTCAGTTTGTTTCCTGTGATTAAGAATTCCTCATATCAGTGAGATCATATGATACATGTCTTTCTCTGTTTGACTTATTTCACTCAACATAATACCCTCCAGTTCCATCCACGTCATTGCAAATGGCAAGATCTCATTCCTTTTGATGGCTGCATAATATTCCATTGTATATATATACCACCTCTTCTTTATCCATTCATCTGTTGATGGACATCTTGGCTCTTTCCACAGTTTGGCTATTGTGGACATTGCTGCTGTAAACATCGGGGTGCACGTACCCCTTCGGATCCCTACTTTTGTATCTTTGGGGTAAATACCCAGTAGTGCAATTGCTGGATCATAGGGTAGCTCTATTTTCAACTTTTTGAGGAACCTCCATACAGTTTTCCAGAGTGATAATGCCTTCTTTTTTTAAAATTTAAATTCAATTAGCCAACATAGAGTACATCATTAGTTTTGGGTGTAGTGTTCAATGACTCATTAGTTGCATATAACACCCAATGCATATCACAACACGTGCCCTCCTTAACAATCCCATCACCCAATTACCCCATCCCCCCACCCACCTCCCTTTCCACAACCCTCAGTTTTTTTCCTGGAGTCAAGAGTCTCTCACAGTTTGTCTCCCTCTCTGATCTTCCCTCCCTTCCCCTATGATCCTCTGCATTGTTCCTTATATTCCACTGCCTTCTTAGGCTTACAATGAATACAATAAAATATAGTTCGGCAATGATATGTAGATTGTGGGAGTAGTAAATGAAGTTATTCTAGTGTCCTCATATTTTCTGGGAAAAGATCAGAGGCTCTAATTTATATTTGTCTGTAGTAAGTCAAAGGCATACTTTTTACCTTTGATTGTAGTTACTAAAAGAATAGTAAGTGAATGTATTACTTCTGTAGTGCATTGAATGGTGGCCCGCAAAATGATATGTCAACATCTTAACTCCTGGAGCCTGTGAATGTGATCATATTTAGATATAGAGTACACAGATGTAATTAAGTTAAGGATCTTGAGAGATCATCGTAGATTGCCCAGGTGCACACTAAATCCAGTGATAGGTGTCCTTCTAACAAACAGAAGAAGATGGACACACAGAAGGGAAGACTATGGGACAACAGAGGCAAAGATTAGAGTGATAATGTCACAAGCCAAAGAATGAGAACAGACACCA